GCACCTCATCGTGGAAGAGTTGGTCGCCCTGCTCCTGCAGCCGGTACGCGTCGTCCAGCAGCTCCTGCAGGTGGGCCGTGAACTCGGCCTCCTCGGCGGTCGGGATGGCTAGCGTGGCGCCCGCGCGGCTCTGCTGCTGGTACGCCTCGAGCACCTCGTACCAGTACGAGATGGCCGTCTCCAGCGCCTCCATGCCTGTAACGCAACAAAACGTAAAGGTGAAATGTAGGTCGGTGTTAAACATAGCGCCTGCGTGCACACACCAAGTAGATTTTTGTATCTTTTATTTGTACGAATTTAATCAATCAATTTTTTTTTGCACTCATTTCTGCGTTGTTTAGAACACTTTTGTGCATTTCAGTTCAACGAAATCCTGTACTTTTGCGAACAAAATTTGTCTGAAACGAAACGTCGGTTTAGCACGAAAGTTTGCACAGAAACATACGACTATTCGGCGTGTTCTGGGTGAACGCCTCAGCACAGGTGTATGTGTATGAATGCGGCTAAGTGCAGATCACTGATCACTCAACACCTGTGTATACGCGCACCCTACAGCAGAATTCTCCGAGACTACACGAGCCACATTCGCTCTGCACTCGGTGGCTTCTCCGTTCTCTTCGTAAGACGGGTTTCGTAGACTTTTCGCAGTATGTGTTGAGTTAAAGATGAGTATGGGGATTCTGCGCGGGTTATTTGGACGGTGGGTCTCTCAGCAGCTCAGGCAGCGACTCTCCCAATCCCGCTGCGCCACCCCACGCCGCGGTCGGCCGCGGTATCCATGAGGCGCGTTCACAATTGACCTACATCGCTGCTCCTATCTCCTCAGCTCACCCCCCGCCCCCCTCCCACTCCCGCGCCCGGGGTCCAATCCCGACTCCGCCAAACACTAGGCCTGACCCCTGGCTGACCCAGCAGGGCCCCCCGCTGCTGCGAGGGGAGCCCAACTCAACTCCCCCAGAGCCAGAGTACCGCCGAGCGAGCATTGAGTGCGGTCAGGGTTCCCCTGCTGAATCAGGAACGCAATTACCAGAACGGCGTAAAGGAGGAATGGGAAGTTGTAAACTAAAGTAAACGACCGAAAACGCAGCCGCCTCGCTGAATTTCGTCTCCGCTATGCATGAGCAGTCCGGACGCCGCCGCCGCGGCCCGGGCGAAATAATGTAGAAGGTGGGGTAAGTACCTTCCGGACCTCCGGGTAGTGGTGGGGCAGAAGAGACAGGGTGGAGAAAGATGGGGTGGTAGGGCAAGCGGGAGGGGAGAGGGAAGAGCGGGGGAGGGTGACAGGGGCCCACCATGACGCAAGTTTCAAGGTTGCAGGGGATCGATCCAGCTCTCCCCGCGAGCGGGGCGCGCTCTCCGAGTGAGGAGAGAGGGGGTGGAGGGGGGTAAATGCGCATCAGCGGGGGGACCTCCTGCTTCTGGAACACCACCAACTCACCAACCAGTGGCGGCCGCCGCCACAGGCAGCCACTCGGGGCCGCACGTCACCAGGGCCATCAAGCCTCCCCGGCCCTGGTTGAGCCTTTTATGTGGCCCGGGCCCGCCACTTTTAGTGGAGGACACACGTCTTGCAAATAAACACGAACAGGCTGCCGGGGGGGATGGCGTCGGCCCACCCTCAGCCCCGCGACCCGCCCCGCGCCAACCGGCAGGGAGAGCAAGAACTAGGTACTTTTCGGTATTTCTGGAAACGCCATGCTATCACTCAGTAGCACGGGTGGAAAAAATGAAAATAAAAAATAGTTGAGAAAAAGACGACATTCTCGCACACAGTCCAAGATCTGCGAGTGACTTTTCGTCACGCATTTCTTTGTTGAGCACTCGGGCGACTCTGCAAAGGGGGAAGGAGAGGCCCAGCCCGGGGTGAGCGGAATGTAGGTCGCCCTTCTGGCGTCCTCTGGAACCCCCTCGCGCGATGGGGTACCCGCGAGGAGAGGGCGGGCGGCCAGCGACGAGGGGAGGGCCAGAGTAGGGGTGAGCTGGCAGCAGTCCGGATGGAGGGCGAGTTGGGCCCGCGAACAGTGAGAGAGGTCGTGGATGGAAGAAGCTACAGCCACAGCCACGGGGCAGAGGGAGGCGGGAGCGGGAGAGGGCCCTCGATATTCCAGTCAATATCCGCGCGCCTTCTTCATTTCCGCGACCATTCTTATTCCCCCGAGGAAAATACCCGGGCGATAACACGGTAAAAAAGATGTCTCATTTTTTTTTTGGAGGAAAAAGGTAAAACTTTGAGGAACTCCCATGATTGAGGAAGTCCTCCGATCTCGCCTCAGATTTTGAGGAATCTTCTTAAAAAATGAGGAAAAATCCCACATTTTTTGAGGAGACTCCCTCGAAATCTGGGGAGTTTGCGTCAAATCAGGGAAGTTCCTCAAAGTTTTCCCTTTTCCCTCAAAAAATCAGACATTGTTTTTTTTTTTTTTTTTTTTACCGAGTAAGACTTTCCTCGCGGCTGCTCCTGCTCAATAGAGTCGCCTCCTCGCGTGAGGCTCGCTGACCTGACACCACACCGGAAACCCAAGTGTGCGATTGTCGCGCACTTGTAGGTGTGTGAACGCTATCCGTAACACACATGGAGGCACAGAGTGTGTAAATTTCAATAAAGGAAAATTCACACCTTTACTTCCTTAGATGTACGAATGCCCATTCACTTGCGTTTCCTTTCAGCAGTGTACTCGGGCCGGCGGCGTCGCGTCGCGCCTTGAGCCTATCGTGGCTTGGCCGATCGCCGGTGCGGCGTGCCTTCCTGCCAATCACTACTGCAGTCGCTCGGACCGCTCGGACCGGTCAGTGGGACGATGCGGCGTTCGCTCGGCGCCTTCTATACCTTTGTCTGTCCGGCTTTGGCCTGGCCATCCATCCTGCTGGCCAAACGCGTCCTGTTGGGGTCTGCCGAGGGGTCCTTCACTATGAATTGTAGTGTACACCGATTTTTCTGTTTTTCTTGATTTTTGTGATTTTCTCTTGATTTTTTGTGATTTTCTCTTGATTTTTTGTGATTTTCTCTTGTTTTTTGTGATTTTTTTCTGACTCTTCGTTAATGTTTTCAGATTTTTTCATGAATTTTTCATGGTTTTTCCGTGATTTTTTTAAAACGGTGTACACTGATTTTTTTGAGTGAAGGACCTCTCGGGGCCTGCAGCAGGCAGGCCTGCCGAGTGTGTGCAGCGCACTGGCGCCCCGCGTGCCCCCCCGGCGGCGCCGGCAGGTCATTCCCGTACGTCACGCGCCGTCGTCGTCGTGCCCCCCACCGTCCATCCATTTGCCACGGAGCAAGGACTCGGGTGAAAACCCTGCGACCTCATTGCTTATCCTGGATTTTGGCATGGAATGGAGTCACACAAACTGGCGTGCTTGGAAAGAAAAGTGCTAATATTTGGCGTGCATTGGCATAGGCACCATACACTCGATCACACTGGTGATCTGCAGAGGTGAACGTCGCCAATATTGGCAAAGAAAAGGTCTAAAGGTCCAAAGAGCTCTTAGACGTCTAAGAGTTTACAGTGGAGTTGTCCGCTGTCTCCATGTGATTGCAGAGCGATAAATATCGGCGGTGGCAGCGCACCGTGCGTCGCGCGGTGCGTCGCCCGTCCTGGCCCGGCTGCGTGCAGGTGCTCGTGCAGGTGGGGCCACACAGTGCAACAGGTGAGCAGCTCTGCCGGCCCAGGCCTCATGGGCCCATAGCCGAAGCGGGCACAGCACACGCTAATGTGAGGAGACACACAGGCATTGCGATATGCATAAATTAGTTACTATCAAATTATACCAATCATACAAGTGATTTCGATTGAAAACTCTTTCAATTTGTGGCGGCTCGTTTTTCCCGACTCTTGAGTCGGTTCGAACACCTTCACTACTGTACGGCGTGAGCTTCATGGCTTGCATGAAGCTCCGGCGCGGCCCAGGGAGTCAGGGCGTTCGTCTCCCCAGAAGGAGCAGGAGGGACGTCACCGGCTCCCGAGGAGTAGACCGGGGTGGAAACAGAAGGGAGAGGGGGAGCGACGGCCAGGCACACGCAGAGGCCGAGAGCGGGAGAGGCGGAAGGCGGAACCGACGAGCAGGAGAGAAAGGGGGTAGAGAAGATAGCGAGAGAGGGAGGGGG